AATTTCTGTGGCTGCAATATGAGGAGCTAAATAACCAGGGCTGCACATAAGTGGTCCGCAGGTGCGCATTCGCTGTCAAAATAAAAAACACACACAAGGGTTAGGGTTAAATTTAAAAACTGTACTTTTGAGTTAAAATATATATTTATAATTTTAATAAATGACAAAAATATCGAACCGTGACACCAAAGTATCGAACCGAACCGAACCGTGAATTTTGTGTATTGTTGCACCCCTACCAAAAAGATTTTAAAAAATTCTCTTTTTGTGGGTTCATCATTTCATTTATGTTTTTATAAAAATATATATGATTTTCTGTCATGCAGGACAGTCATACTCTTCCTCCAGAGAAAGTGCATCTTCACAGCTTTCCTCTTTACATGATCACTTCCCTGTGTGTGATGTGTTTAGGGTCATCTTTAAATTGTAGCTTTTTTTTTATTACTGTGCATGATAGTTTAGTTGTTTATTTAAAAGACATCAGTGTGCAAATTGTTGCTGATATGCCTCCTTTGACTTGCGCTGGTACATGTTTGAGCATATCTCTCAGCTCACCAGTTATGGCAGTTTCCACCTGAGCATTTACATTTTGTATTTTGTCCACTTGTATGCTGTTTTTTTCTGACGAATACTAGCACCTCTCTGTCTCCCCAGATGGCAGCAGAGTGCGGTCCTCTCCATCCTCAGGAGCAACCAGGCAGAACAATCTCCTTGGATGTCTCCAGTGACACTTATCTTCTCTTTGAAGACCAGAAGTTTGCGGTCAAAGCCTTCAGGTTGTTTCACCGCATCCCTTCCTTTGGTTTTTGCATTCAGGAGCGAGATCGACCTGGAAGGTTGAAAACAGAACTGCTGAAGGAACTAGGTGAGAGGCATTTTCTGTTCTTTTAATATCTCTTCATTATTTGTGTAATATTAAAAATATAAATTCCTTGCATATAAAGTAGATGGAAATAACTGTCATCACCAATTATTTATTAATGCAAGAAACAATTTCAGAAAAGCAACCCTTGCAGCTGGTCTCATTTTGTATCCTACAGGCCTGAAACCAGGCCCTCTCTATGGGCGCCTCAAAGCTGGGGAGTCAGTAACTCTTGAAAGCGGGCGTGTGGTGCAGCCTAGTGAGGTGCTAGAAGAAGCTATTCCTGGGAGGAAAGTCTGCATTTTAGGGGACTGTAGCTCGGTGCTTGGGGAAGGGCCGCAGAGGTTGTGCAGCGGAGCGGACATTCTGGTTCATGAGGCCACCCTTGGGAACGAGCACCGAGAGAAAGCAGTGGACCATGGGCACAGCACACCTGAGATGGCAGCGGCAGTAGCACGAGCTTGCTGTGCACGGAGGCTGGTGCTAAATCACTTCAGTCAGCGGTACAAACCCAGCGCCATGGTGAAGGAAGGAGATGAAGACCATGTTTCAGAGTTAAAGAGACAGGCTGAAGAGGCTTTGCAGGACACTGGGGTAGATGTGATTCTGGCAGAGGACTTTCTCACTCTACAGATCTCTCTCAGAAGATCAAGATAATAAGCAGCTGGTTTAGTGAGTATAAAGCTGGTAGTGGTTTTGGCTAAAAGCAGAGGAATTGTCTGTATATTTTATGACATAAGGTGAAATTGTCTGCTCTTTGTCTAACTTGTTTTTATTTTATTAAAAGACAAATTAGTCAAGCTCAAGGTCCTCTTGTTTGCAATCTACGTTGATAATCTATATTATCATTAACTATTTTTCTATTTTAGGGAATTTTATTACCTGTAATACATGTTGGCTCTGAACCTGAGCTTGGCAATGGCAGTTTTTGCAGTGGCTAATATGCTTCATCTCAGGCTTGATTAATTTGCTTTATTCAAGTCTTATATTCTGGTTCCTAAAAGCAAAATTGCTGAGTGCCAATGTCACGTTGCAGTTAAATCACTGTCCTCCAGCAACTATATCACTGGTTGTGGAGGAATGTCTCTGTAAGGTTCTGGCTGAATATAAGTAGTTGTTGAGAATTTCTGTAGCTATTTTGCAGATTTTTAACAGTTAATTAATCAATGAATTACAATCAGGCAGTGAGTGGTTGCAAACCTGATCTTATATCAAGGGAGGAACAATTTTAAAAGAAAAAGACAGCAAGTTTATTGCACGCAGTCCCAATAATGTTGTTCATTATTCAATCTCTAGCCAGTTTTCCCTAGTGTGACTAGGAATAGTACTTTTTAGTGCTTTGCCTACAAAGTAAAGGTTGCACCTTTGTGTTGATTGGATAGCTTTTATTTTGTAGACAAATGTTTTCATTTACTACTTAATAGTTGACAAGTGTTTGCAGACATGTTGCTGTCTTCCATGCAAACTGTGGGCACCTGAAGCAATCTGATAGAGACCAAAGTAAGTGCAAGGTTTTATTTTGGTATAACACGTGGTTTGTGACTAATTGTGACACCCAGCAACAATCAGCAACCACTTGCTAACCAATCAGGCAATACATTTTCCCTACCAACCTGTGGTTGTAAGGATTTAAGGCTGGTTCAGATGGAACAGGCAGGTAAGCAGAACTTGAGCTGAGATTTTGTCAGTTTAAAGAATGGTTTTGGGGGGGGCTGTAAATAATACTTGGTCCAAAAATTGACGAAAACTTTTTTTTTTAATATATATATATATCACGAGGAATTTAAGCCTCAAGTTTTGTTAAACTGCCGCTCTCATGTAAAGAATAAACGTAATGATAAAGATGCAGCAATAATCTTCGAACCTTTTCCAGAGCTTTATTTCTGGATCTGTACACAAGGTATTAAAGTACAACATAAAATACAAAATAATGTTTAACAAAAGAAAAAAAAAAACAAAAAAGAAAACTCAATGTTTATGTACAATTTTTATAAACAATAAAGATAGCTTCTTGAACATTTCTCATAGTGAAGTTTTTGATTGTCTATATTTCTGGATATACATTTTTAAGTTTTGTAGGTTTTTATTCACAAAGGTGTTTTTATTTTCATCAAAGGACTTTGTTTCCTTCTTCAAAACCACAACTGCTATATTTTTTTCTTTTTTAAACTTCAAAACACAATACAAAATATAAAATAAATTTGTTTAGTGCTTGCTTGCACACACAAGTCTCATACCAGAGATATCAATAAAATATCACATTTTCGAGAGTTCACAGGGTGGTGAAAAACCTACTTCTACTACTTAATGGCCTTTACATTCTGACAGTTTTTCTGAGTCTTTGTACAAACCACAGGTGAAATAAATATCACTGCACTGCTAAAGCTAGAAGAGCTTGGAGGACCTACTGCATTATGCACATTGCATTAAAAGAGAAACTAGCTCTCCACACACTTACAGCAGCAGCCATCCCGTTACCATCGAGACAAATATAGACGACGACAACATGTAAAAACTCTTTTAAGGAAAGAAACATGAGTGTCTTTTACACATGGCTGCATGTTTTGAATGCAAAAATTGCAACATTGAGTAATATCAATACGTCTTCGGGTAAAGCCGTTTTCAGTGGTACACTTGAAACAGGGCACAGCTGGCATGCGTGGTTTCAGCTGTGTCCTGGTGTCTGGGTGACTTTCCAAGGAGAGAAAAGAAATGAAAACACCAAGTCAACCAGTAAAATGCAAAACCCAAAATATCTGTACATATCTACAAATTATTGCCTTTCTGACAAGGAATCAAAGTAAAACCTTTTTATCAACACAGATTCACAAGTGTAAGAGGTCAGTTAATAGACTTTTTAAAGGCTATTTGCTAATTATTTACATGAAACACAGATGTGATTATCCTCTCTGACGCTGGCCGTTGAAACTGAACTGCTTGATTAAACTTAAGGATTATTAGGCATGAATGGACACAACAAACATGATGTACCCTTGAAACAAACTAAATAGTCATAGCACAATGCATAGATAAATTAAGTAAACACTACTACTGCATCCAATCAACTGACACTGACCTGCTAAACGTTTTACAACTCACAATTATGAACTTCAGTCAAGCGAAAAACAGCTCCATTTCTGCTACTAGGCTCCAAAATATTGTCAACCGGATTTCAAAAAGGCATAACTAGGCAGTACAGGCTAGGCAGAGGTTCAATACAAACTCAGAGAAGCTTAAAAAAATAAAATAAAATAATAATAATACTGCTAGCAGGTTAGGGGGGGGAAAAAAAAGAAGAAAAAAAAGGCGCTACTTGATTTAGGAACATATCCACTTAATTAGGACACACACACAGCTTAACTTGCCTAAGCGTAGCGTGAGTGAAAGCATGAACTGAAAGGGTGAAATAAAACTTTAGAATGAGAAAAGTATATGCAATAAATACATACTTTACTGTGTCGAGGTTTAAATGGCTATTAACCCAACCAGAAATCTTTGCATTGCAATATTGCTGTTATGGTTCGTTGATATTCTAGCAAGTAGCAGGATTTTAAAAATATATTTATATACTCAACAGTAAAACAAGGTGACTCCCAGTATATTAATTTGCTCCGGTATTTTTCAATCACCTATTTTAAAATGTAAAGAAAAAAACAAAACAAACAACAACAACAAAAAAACAACAAAAAACAAGGCCATTCATTTGGGTTTGACTAAATGGGCATTATTAAAAGGGAAAAAAAAAAAAAAAAACCCTCCAGTATTGGCCACTTTGAACAAAGGTAAATAAGCAGACAGACTACAAAGCACAAGAGAACATAAAGAGAAGAAACCCAAACAAGATGGCCTTAGCAGCTTAAGCCACGACACTTCCTGGTTTCCAAGCTAATCTCCATGCTAGTGTTGCTCTTCGTACAGTTATGTACCCAGGTAGATTCAAATCATATAAAAACCATTTGCACAAGTTGGGTTACTGGAAAGTACCTGTAAACAAAAAAAAAATAAAAAAAATAAAATAAAAAATAGTACCACCTTAAACAACAAATACAGGCAACTAAATGCTAACACCAGAGCTGGGGAAACTAAGTTTTTGGCAGCTAGAAGGATGGCAGGATAAGGTACTGAAGCTCTGAAGATGGTGGGTGTAGATGTGAAGGAGGAAGAGACACATCTCTCCTACTGCAGCCCCTGGGCCCTGCTGTACATGGACGTTACACATCTCAAGACCGCAAAACAAAAATAAAATAAATGGCTATATAAACTCTTGAGAGAAATCAAGATTTTAGTTCTATATGATAGACATCACTGATGTCATATTACACAAAAAATGAAAACAAAGTATAGTCATATACATATATATAGATATATATATATATATATAATAGAATTTAAACAAATTGAATTTTCCAGTGAGGTCAGTCTTATGTACAAGCAGGAAAAAAAGGGATCTTAAAAGGGAAGAACAGGGAAGAAGATGAGGAAGATCACTCTGACTGAAGTGCTGCAGTGTGCTGTGTGTGGTGCCGTGCATGTGCTCCCAGAAACCCGTTGGGCTCACCGCTCCCAGCCAAGCTCCCAAAGTCTGTGACAGATACTGCCATTTTGGCGCCGGTGATTCGGTGGTGATGCGTCGTCGTCCGTCGTGCATCAAAGTCCACTCCGAGGTTACCCACGGATACGTCATTGATAAAGGAGTCAGGCAGCGCCATCTTGAGTCTCTTGGAGGGCCGCTCACAGTCCTTGTTGACGCACACGCCTCCCAGCTGGCCCAGATCTGAGTGGTAGAAGCCAGCCTCAAGCATATTGAGGCAGTCAGGTTCTGCACCATTTGCAGGGAACCCAAGGGATTCCTCGTGGTTCAGGGAACCTCGATGGAGACTGTCCAGTGGAGGAAAGCTGTAGGAGTCCAGGCAGCTAACCTCTGCAGGACTGCATACTGTGGCTACAGTGTTGCTCAAAGCTGCAAAGACACAAAACAGTTAACAACAAGAAGTAGTCATTTATTTTTATTTTTTTAAACCATCGCTACACAACTAAGGTCTGTAACTAACCCGTGAGGTCGCTGGCAGTGATGGAGTTGAGCAGGCTAAGCTGCTGTTCTGTGGTTGTTTCCAGCCTTCCACCACCACCAGCACCTGAACACACGGAGGAGGAACTGTCCACAGCTAACCCCTCCGCTTCATCCACCAGCCTGTCCATCAGGTCACTAGAAACAAAGAAATGTCACTGGGTTTGTTTCTTCCATATTATGTGAACTTTTTTCCATTTTATTGAAGCAAAGCAATAAAGACAGACACTCCGTTTCATTTCACGTACGTTACTCCAGGATAGTTGCTGAACTTTTTCTTCCCGAACCGATTCTGCTGCACAAAGAAGTCAAAGCGCTCTGACTTTTTCCACATGTAATAAAATGCCACACATTCTGCTACTGTTCTTGTTGTGACCTGAGAGGAGAGGAGGGGGACAGAGTTTACAAAACTTTGTATACATTTTTATTTGCATACACTTGTAAAGGGAACCATAAATTCACACTCACTTTGTGTTTCTGAATGAGGTGAAAGTTCTTGTCATACATCTGAAGAGCATGTTCAAAGTTCTTGCATTCCTCTTCAGACCATGGAGGTGATTTTCCTGCAATGAAACCATGAATCCATTTTAACAATGGGTGTGCAAAGGTAACCACAGGCCATGTCGAAACCAAGACATGTCCCACCAATAAAATTCATCCCAACTGAATGGTCCATTATTCCAAACTTAGTATCAACCATTTAGGAATAACAGGCATTTTTATATAGTCTCCCATATTCCAAAGGTTCAAAAGTAATTGGACAAACTAATAATTTTTAACAAATGTTTAAATTTGCCTCAGATCGAGCACCTGTGGACAATACCAAATGTATTGATTTCTGTCGCGATGCTTTCATTGGAGCCGTGTTCAATTTCTATTTGTTTGTGGATCTTCTGCCTTCAGCTCCGTCTTCAGCAAATGTTAAGGGCCCGTAACACTCACAGCGGCTACCTTGCGAATTGTAACGCACACTAGACTAGAGATCGCATGATAACAATAACAAAAAATAAATAAAAATACACTGGGATAGCCTACTCAGAGATGAAATGCCGGTTTGGCAGCATGTAGCGAGGCTCCCGATGCTTTTTAGTGTGAAGTCACTCCAGACCGCCGACAGGTCTCGCACACAACAGTCGCTCTATCAGGTGACACATACTGCTCCGACGTGCTATGGTCGCGAGCTGGTGTATGCCATGTCAAAAGTTTTGTGAGGTGCTTTTGTGATGTTTAATTCATTTTTTTTTTTAAATTTCTCCCTGATATCCGATCCAGTAATTTAGGTCAAGATTGGACCGGTACCAATACTGTATATCGGGTTGTTCCATCTCCAGTTACATCCTCAGTCCTGTCACACATTGACATTATTTCGACTCGTTCTTCAGCTCTCAGTTTTTGTAACCCCAAACGGGTGGCTTGGCCAGACTGAAGGCAAAAATACACAATGTAGTGACCACAATGGGTCCTTAAGGGATACTCCGCTGGTTTAAGATCAGGTCACTGGCTTGGCAAGTGAAGAATATCCCATTTCTTTGCCTTGAGAAAATCTTGTTGCAGTCTCCATAATCAATAAACACATGCCATAACATTGCCTCATGTTTAACACATGATTTGGTAGTCGTTTCTCTCCTTCCCCATACTTTTCACTTCCAATCATTATGGTACAAGTTCATCTTGGTTTCATCTGTCTAAATGTTTTTAGGCAGAAGAAACTGCTCCTTTAGAGGATTCCTTGGCAGGCCTAATCAGGCGTTCTTGTTATTCAGTGAAACTAGTGGTTTGTAAATGTCGTCATCAGACAGTAAACGTGAGAGTTTGCATGCCTACCTGTTTTTTGTGACCGCGCAGACTTGTCTGCTGAGACAATACAACCATGCATGCGCTCAAGCAGCGGACGTCAAGTTGATTTTAAAGAAGTATAACAGGAATGAGAACTCAGGCATCAGGCCTCCAGCTGTCAGTGTCCACAACAGATTATAATCCAAGCTTTAGTTGTCTTATGTAGTCTTTTGGTGTTGCTGAGTGGCAATGTTTTCCTTTTTCAAAGACATCTAATTTGTCTAGTCCCAAAGGTTTATTTTGGTTTTTCAGCCTAATGATGGCGTCCTACATTTGCATTAACATCTCTCATATTTTGATGTCAGTGAACAGCCATCAAGTCCAATACTTGCAATCAGCTCGACCTCACATGATCAAGAAACTGTTCATCAATTCTCATTTGTCTAATTACTGAAAAGGGGGGGCCCATGTACAATAATGACTTTGAATGAAAGTGAAATCTACATGTGAAGCATTTTGAGTGTCTTGAGGTGCAAACGAATCACAATGACATTTCCTATGAGAAATCACTTGCTTACCTTTTGAGGACTGTACATGGTTGCAATATCTTTCTAGTGCTTCGCGGGTGTTGTAGTTGCATTTTACAAGCTCACGTAAAGCCTACATTGAAAGAATGAAAGAGTAAAAATTATAGCATTTGCCAAAATTGATCAGAAACAATTAAACAGATATGAATGTCAGAGAAAATACCTTTCTTGAGGTGCACTGCTAATAACACATTCATCATTTTATCAAACCACGTAAAGGACTGAGTAAGACATGACTGACCTGCTCATTGTCTCGCACATGCATTCCTGGTTTGTCACACCCCGTCTTTTCATCTGTCGTCCGTGACAATACTTCACACAGGAAACTTCTAACCTTGTTTTCTGATAATACACCTGGACTCCACAGTAACTCATCTTCATCTTCATATGCTATACAACCAAATACATGATGTTAAAATTAATCACCAGGTGTACATCACCTATTCTTAATTGAATGGTTAACAACACTGTAAGCAGCCACATTAAAGAATAGATTAGGAACGTGTGATGAAAGCAAAAAAAAAAGAAAAAAAAGAAGTAGTATTCACCTTTCTCCTCATCTTTGTAGTGACAGAGGCAAGAAGGAACTTCTGCTTGGTATTCCAATCCCACCATTATTTCCTATTACAAAGCATAAGAGGGCATGTCTGAATTCAAAAGCAACCTGACTTAACATGAAACAAACATGAAACGGCGAGTAAACTATATCCTATATCCATGTTTCCAAATGAAACAAATCATTTACCTTTCTCGAGTCCTCTGGGCATGGGCCATCTTCATCACACTCTGACTCTTTATCACCGTCAGAAATAGCGTTTGCTGGGGTTTTTTTAAAAGAAAGAAAAAAAATGTTTAACAATTAGTAAATCTTAAATACTTTAGTACACCCTGAATTTAAATGGCAGCTGCTTAATGCCAAAGCCGGATGTTTTACCCAAAAGATTTTTTTCCCAGTTTTTCTGCTAAAGGTTGTAAGATCTCCTCAAACATACTTGAAGCTTTCCAAAGAATTTAGGTAAAGTTATGTGTAAAGAACCAACACTGTTTCAAACCACAAACCCACGGTAAGTTGGCTGAGTAACACAGCTGCAAAAACAAATTTATGACAAAAATATTTTTCCAGTAAAATGACTGAGCTAATGATTCATTTTTGTTATGTAAACTGCATAACAAATCCCAGCTGTTTGTCTTTATTTTACAGTGTTATAATTATGGTTTTATTTGAGTTACTTTTCTAATCCAACCTATTTGTACTTTTTTTTGATTCTGGCTCTATTTGGACATGCTAAAAATTAAATTTAGTCTTAAATGGACTTGAGAACAGCAGTCAGAGACAGATAAGCTAAGCTTAACTTACACAAATAACTGCATTAGCTGCAGACTTAACACATCTTTATCTAAATGTTTTGTTAGACAACGAGCCTTGTCAAATTTTATAACCTTAACAGTAACTTTTTCCATCAACAGCTAAGTGGGAGAAGTGAATATTTCACAGTGCACAACAGTAAGTGACCCTCCTTTATAACACCAAGATCCACAGTCAAATTACCGTTTTATTGTGTGACATATTACACACTAGGTTTTAAAATAATTAAAAACTAGTCAGCTGCACCAAATATCTGTGACAAAAAGAAGGGAACTGCTACTACATTTAGCATTCACAACCAAAATCTAAATTTGAAATTTTGCAAACTACACATCTTAGTATTCTCAGTATTCTCATAATATTAATATAAAAAAATAATGAGCACATTAATCACTGTATTGCACACACTAAAAAAGATTTAATTCGGACAGTTGCAAACATAAAATACTTTTAATTTAAAAGTAGTAATCTATCACTTACATCTAAGTGTTCTTGGGAAGAAATCAGTGGCCTCATGGGAGGTAACTGAAGGAGTCAGATCATCAGCTGAGGACTGGGTCTCCTCCTCATAATCTCCAGACAGAAGGTCTTTAGCTATTTCCTCCTAGTGAGTAAAAGGAATATAAATTGTACACCATACAAAAATCATAAGTTACAAATATAGTATTGTTTTACAAATTAACGCTATATTTATTGCCAATTGCTTCTCACAAATCTACTTAGCAACTGTATAACTACCAAATAACAGCAACTCCTTACCTTATCCAAAGTCATGTCGGGGAGCTCATCAGTCAGGTCTCCAGAGGAGCTGTCTATACTGGAGCCTGCTGAGGCCTCATAGCGATAAATGGCCAATAGTTCCTCTAAAGGCATGTTCCCTTCCTGTTAAAAGAAAAATGAATGTAAAAATGTATCAATTCCATTTCACAGGGTTATACTGTTTTCATGTACGAAGTACAAGATGGTCAAGTTGGACAAATTTATACACTGCACCTATCATATGACATTTGGAATGGCATATGGATTTACTGATTTATTATAATACCTTTTCCAGATCTGCAATTTCAGATCTGAAATTTGTTCCGCCTTCCAGAGACTCTTCCTCCTCCAGAGTCCTCTCATCATCATACTCATGAACTAACATTTCTGCTGTTGGATCAAAGTCATGGTCCTCTGATGATAAAGAGCCAACTGAATGAGAAAAATGGAAAGAAAAATAAAAGAATTATAAATACCAAATTGTTATCGTGCAATAAGCAAAACCTTACTTTATTACAAACTCATAACATTTTCAGAAATTCATCTCTATATTTCTGTTTACTATTATTTGTGAAAAGTAAAAATAGAGTTTTGAAAGCACACCTTAATATAGATTACACAGTAAATTGTATTACCTGGACTTGAACTCCCTAGGGAAGCCTGGAAAAGAAGGGAAAAAATACCATAAATTGGAGCAAGACAGAAAATTTGAATTAAAATAAATTACTCGGGGGCTTTAACCTCAAATATTAAAACAGGATGACCAATAAAATATTTTTACGTTGTGTGTAATATGACCCAAGGAAATAGCCGGGCAGGAAAACTGCAATTGTCGCTAATGTTACCCGATATAGGTGGCTAATACAACGCTAGCCGAGCTGCACACTCAGGGAAAGATACGTTTTTTTAAACGCTGGAATAAAAAATTTCCCCAGAGGACTGAATAAAAAAAACCTTGTATAATCGCTTGTATATGTCATTGCAGATCCAGTACTGCTTAGCTAGCCGGAAAGCTATTTCCAAATCCAAATGTTAACGCTGTCCACCGAAAAATGTAAACACTAATTTCGTTTGCGCGGTACTGCAATCGATAAAGTCGAGCAACCTTTTAAATGTAGGTGCCGCTACTCCAGCCTGAACATCAAAAAATATTTTTCCATTCACCATAAAGATTATATGGTCTGCAATTTACTTGAACCAGCAAGCTAACGTTAAATTTACGTATGAATTTACACAGCCGCTTCACCGAAGCAGCTGAGAGCGAAGGCGCAGAGGCCTCGTAGTGAAGGATCAGTCCAGACATTTAAGCATATTTAGGAGAAATAAAAACAACAATTATGAGACGAAACACGCTATACACAAGGCAAAAAGCATTGTTTCTTCAATCGATTGCGTAAAAATGAAAAATACAGCACACAAATTTTAAAAATGTCGATTTAACATCGATTGCTTCTCCCCTGTTTTCCCTCTTACCTCCGCCATATTGGTACCTTTAGCTAATGGGCTCCTTCTAGCGCAGTACCCGGATCAGCGCTCTGAGCCAATCAGAGATCCAGGTGACTGCTTGAGTCGTGACGCCGTTCAAACCATCTACTGGTCAGACTAACGGTAATTACTAATAAACGGGTAATTTACGGTATAAAAATGTGAAAAGCTGAGATTACAAGTCAAATTGCCGATACACATTCTACCTACAACATATCGGTGTCATGGCGTTGGCCGGTGCCTTACACAAAGACGGTTTACTGGAACATTCCCGGCACATCCCAGCTGATTTCCTGTTCTCCTTACCGTATTTATCGAAGCTATGGCATCTAAACTACTGTGTTTTCAACACCGTCTTGTTTTTCGCTGTATTTCTGAAAGAACAGTCCAATGCGGAATTCAAATAGAAATCATTTAAGGTTTTCCAGCTGTAACACTGGATATTAGGACAGTAATTTGTATGCTACTGTAATATTGCTGCTAACACACCTGTCTTCTTAAATAAAAAAAAATGCACAATTTAGCTATAGATAAAAAATTTTTTATTAAGTTGACCGTTTATTTATCATAAAATGATTTTACTTGAATTTTGATCCCTTACCAATCAAACTCCTTGATCTGCACATTCCTCAAACTCTTCAAAGAGCAATTTGTTGTATTTCTATTTGAAAAATAATACTCTTATAAAGCACCATACTAATTATTTTAGAGATAAACATAGCAATAATTACAGTTTAAGTATGTTTTTAATCATTGTTTTTATATGTTGATATATTGTACTGTTGGTGGGCATTTAACTTTCTCATGAGAAGCTCAACTTAATTCTGCTCAATAATTATTTTATCTCTGTTAAAGCTCTTTTTCTTTCTTTATAAATACCTACTGGTAAGAGTAAATTAGAAGTTACAATTAGGCAATGAAAATGTGAAATAAATAGTAGCAGCATTTTATCCATCCATCCATCTTCTTCCGCTTATCTGGGACCAGGTCACGGGAGCAGCAGCCTAAGCAGTGAAGCCCAGACCTCCCTCTCCTCCAGCTTGTCCGAGGGAACACCAAGGCATTCCCAGTCGATCATTGACCTGCAGCCTAGGGCGTCCTGGTGTCACGTGCACTTATGGACAACCTTATATTCAACATAAGGCTGTTTGTTATGGACAAACTGCGGTTTGCACATAAGTCCAACCAAAAAACACCGCTTGGGTTCAGATCCGGGAGGCCGTTCCTCTCAATCACACCCCTCTAGGTCTCATTGCTGTTGCCCACATGAGCGTTGAAGTCTCCCAGCATTTTATTGTTATTTAATCAACATCCCCCAAAACAATTGTGAATGAAATGTGCATACTTTTGCAAAATTTCAGAGACTTTTAACTTTATCCAAAGTGCTATTTCTGTTTTGCTTGGATGGGAATTTTAAAGACAGTGTACACATGCTCACCGCTGAGAGAGGATCTGTATTGTTTGTTCTCATATGAAGATAGATCCAAAGAGAACCAACATCTTCTGAGCATGTCTCTGACCATGTGTGGAAAGTTCTTCTATTTGAGAGTGATCTGCCAGAAGTGAATCAAAAGTGCTTGTGGTAAAGGTAACTATTTTTGTTACCACATCAACAACATGGTTAATATTTAGCACTGACTCACACAACACCTCCAGTTTCAGTCCTGCTGTCATTTCATGTCTCTTTATCTTGCATCCACTTCAAAAGTCTGAAATTTTTCCCTGTCAGATTTGGACAGCCATTGGCTGCAATACCAGTTTTTCCATTTTCAACCTCCATGAACAATTCACTTACTATCAGAGTCTGTTTCACTGAGTGCATTGCTGCCAGCTCCTCTGTAATCTCAGACTCTTTCGTTACCACATGTACAAAGATGAGTAACTGAGGTGTGTGGTGAACATCAGAGCTCTCATCTGGAGCCAAGGAGAAAACAGACTAAACTGTCTGCTTTTTTTTAAAGTTAAGTGCCACCAAACATTCTTTGATAAACTTACAATTTTGTGGGAAATCACAAAACTGGTCTTGAAAGTTCCATGCCTGGATGTTTAAAGCTTGGTAAAAAGTCCTTGCTGCTTTTGCAGCTTTGCTAGCAAAGGTTCAGGTGTCTGTCTGCACTCTGCATCAGTCAAGAGCTTGTTGGTGTGTGCTTACTTTCATAATGGAGAATGTGATTGTAATCGTTACACACACACAATCAGCTCTCCACAAACTAAGCATGCGGTTTTGCCTCTGATTTGAGTAAACGCATTCTTACAAGTCCAAGTCTTGTTAAAAAGTCCACATTCTGCATCGGTCTTTCTTTGTTTAGTGTGAGCTGGCATCTTTCGGCGCTGGCAAACTCAAATCTCTCAAACATGACGCTTCATTTGCTTGTATGTAAATTTAAAAAAGAATAGCCGGCAAGTTTAAAACAAAAGCAATACATTTGTATAATGATTTCCCACAAAATCACAAAAACCAGTAAATCATTTTCTTATGGGGATCATTATGGAGTGTTTGGGGGCTAAAATGGGACAAACTGCATGATGTATTCCATTTTTAAACCATATGTGAACATCACATTTTGGGTTATTTAGACCAAAATACTCAATTTTGCTCTACAAGGGCCTGATATCCACTTACGAGGACATTATACTGCTACTGTTCTATCAAAACTTTAAACAAATATCCTCATATGTGGCTCTTATTTTTCTTAAAAACAAAAATAAGGTAAAAAACATTCTGGTAATTATTTGTTTTTACATTCATCGGGCCCAATCAGCCCAAATATCAAAGAGAAATTAAAAATGCATGACGTGGAAGATTTCGGGTCTTAGGAGGTTAAATGCTAATTTCCCTTTTACATCACGTGGGCTGGTAAGAGACTACCAATGGGCTGGATGTGGCCTCCAGGCTGTACAATGCCCAGTACTGACACTGGTTACACTTACAAGACACTTTATTAACAACACTTTGCTAACACTGTGTTGCGCCCACCTTTTCTTTTAAAGCTGCCTTAGTACTACAGATTCAAGAAGGTGCTGGAATCATTTCTCTTGAGATTTTTGGCCAAATAGTTGCTGCAGATTTATTAGCTGCATACCGTGATATGGATCTTCTGCACCGCTACATGCCAAATGTGCTCTATAGGTTTGAGATCAAGTGACTGTGGAGACAATCTGACTAAGATGAACTCAGTGACAGGTTCAAGAAACAACTTTAAGATTATTTGATCTTTGTGACATGGTAGATTATCTTGCTGAAAACAGTCATCTGAACATTAGGCTGTGGTCATAAAGAGAGGGACATGATCAGCAAGGCTGGATCAGAAATCAAGACTCATCAGACCAGACAATGTTTTTTAAGCCTTCTGTTGTCCAAATTTGGTGAGTCTGTTTGAACTGTAGCCTCAGTTTCCTGTTCAGGACGGACTGCTGTTGTGGCTTTCTGCTGCAATTCATCTATGCCAGTGATTGAGGTGTGATTATTCGATTGACGGTTGCCTTCCTATCGGCTGTAAGCAGACAAGCCATTTTCTCCACATTTCTGGTATCAACAAGGCATTTTCACCCACTCACTGGGTATTTTATTTTTCAGACTCTTCTCTGTAAACCCTAGAGTTGTTGGGGTTCAGATACTGAAATACTCAGACCAGTCCATCTGGCCTTAACAACCTTTCCCAAGTTCAAACAATTTCACCTCAAAATTTCAATTCACTTCGGCAGGTTGTATTGGGCGTGTCTGCTCGCCTAAATACTAGAGTGTGAATTTTGTTTGAATTGCTGTTGTAATTATTTCTGTATGACATAAAATGTGAACTACCTCTTTAAGGCAAGAGTTCTGCATACCAGAGAATTACTTTTAGGAAATACTAAAACAATATAAAATGTACTGTACAGGCCAACAGGGGGTAGCCTGATCATACAATATATAGGAGTTTGTTCACAAAACTGAGCTCCCCACACAATCTTCCCTCTTTTCCTGTTTTGGAAAAGAGGGAAATGGGATAAGAGTCGTGAAAGCTCTTATCCTAGTTGTTCATGCAGTCACATATAAAAACAAACTGACAGTTTTGGCAAGGAGTGGTGTATGTTGGAGAATCCAGATTTCAATCTATAAGGTAACAGGCAATTGTTGTCGTTGGTTCTGTATTTATTTAGGGATTTCAAGCTCTTGAACTGGGTTCACAGGCAGTAAGCAAGGTTTCTTAAAGTTGTAACTTGAGTTTTTGCTATTAAAGCCTTCAAATGTTTGTACACAGCACGTCAAAGATAAAGGAGCTTATTTCCTGGTCGGGTCAGATTCAGAGCAGAGGTGAGGGGCCTTCCTGCAGTATAACAAAGTTATCTGTGCGCTTTTGCCATGTCAACCACTACATTTGTCTTAGACTGGGGACGTGAATACATTTTTTGGTGTCAAAAGCTGGGGAAGGGGTTTTGTGTCTGTATGATTTAAAGAACAAGAACAAAAAAAGGATTTAAAAAAGTTAATATTCCAGTTTCCGCTTGTCCCGTTCGGCCATTCAGAGCACAAACAAAAAAGTGGAGTTTCCACAGGAGTGATGTGACATTAAAATCCACATTACACGTAGAAGAGGGTCGAACTGCTTGATTGTGCTCGTAATGGTTGCCAGCACTGAATTAGATGACACAGAATTGCAATGGTGTTGCTGTGTTTGACCAAAAACCTTGTATTCATTGGAGGTGGTTAGTATATATACAAAGACTACACTCGGATAAACACATCTTAACCTTGTGATGCAAACCAGACGTAATATCTAACTAATAAACACTGATTTGTGAGTTTCAAGTGGTGGGCGTTTTAAACTTATTGTAGCAAGTAAACACCTCTGTGTCTGCAAAACAGAATCCCCAGTAAGGCGTAGGAAGAGGGCAGCGTGGGCTTCGTTTGGAGGACTTTACAAACAGATGAGTCACTGTTTTTTCGGAGAGTTCAGAAACCCATCTCTCTGTAGGCCACCACATTTGCTAATTATCTAAGCTACTTTAGACCACTAAAAGTTAAACAACCACTGAT